CCTTCCTTGCTCCTGCCCTCGCTTCCCTGCTGCCTCTCAGCCGGTCACTGGAGCCCGGTGCTCACGCAGATGGGTGCTCGCTCAGGCCGGTGCTCAGGCAGGCCGGTGCTCACACGGGTCGGTGCTCACACAGGCCGGTGCTCGCTCAGGCCGGCGCTCGCTCGGGCTGGTGCTCGCTCGGGCCGGTGCTCACGCAGATGGGTGCTCGCTCGGGCCAGTGCTCAGGCAGGCCGGTGCTCACTTGGGCCGGTGCTCGCTTGGGACAGTGCTCACTCGGGCCAGCACTTGCTTAGGCCAGTGCTGGCGCAGGCCAGTGCTCACGCGGGCCGGTGCTGGCGCGGGCCGGTGCTGGCGCGGGCCGCGTGGACCTGCCTTCTCTCTCTGCGCTAACTTGCTCCTGCAGCCGTGGCCTCTGGCAGGTCGACGCCTCTGCCCCTGGCCGCTCTCCTGTTTCCCCTGTCGTGGCGGTCGCGGCGGTGCAGTCGGTGCACTTGGCCTAGGCTCTCCACGGAAGAGTGATTATAAACTAAAACGAGGCTCTCGCAGCTAAGTCACGGTGCCCGAGGATCCGGGTGACAGCGCCGAGAAGCTGCCTTCAGGCAGCAGAGTATGCGTCTACCTAGTTTATTTAGCTTTTATTCCCGGGTGTGTTTGCTCGCCAGGGAGAGACAGAAGGACAGAGAAAGCGAGCAGGAGAAGGCACAACCCAAGGGGTGTCTTTCTCTCTGTCTCTCTCTGGGAAGCATGCATGCTCTCTGGAGACTTTTTTTCAAAATTATTTTCTTTCAGGGGCCAGCAGATGGTATGGCTCAAGTCCCAGGCCCAGAGGCTTGAAAATCACACCAGGCTCATGTGTGTGTGCCCAAATTCCCGAGAGGTGAATGGGGCAGAAGAGATTGCAGTGTGTCATCCCCCACGGGTGATTTCTCACTTTCTGAGGGAGGCTCTCTGTCTCTGTCTCTCTCTGGTGAGCACATACTCCCTATGGCAAACACTAAAAAAAAAAAACAAACTTTATCCATATTTATGCACATGAGAGTGAGAGAGAGAGACAGAGAGAATGAGAGAATGAGAGGGGAGCACCCTCAACAGGACCCGGTCACACCTATGGCCTCTCCAGTCCCCAGCTGGTTGGATCCTGGGCTCGCGTGCACGTACCGGGCATCCAAGCATAATTTATTAAATAATATTCATGCACCAGGCACTGTACTGAGCTCTGGGCTCTTCTAGAAGTTGACTACATACATTTGACTTGGAATCTGGGGACCCTGTTGGTCTCTCTGCCTTCCCGTGGCGCTCAGAGGGAGGGATGCTGGCTTTCTGGAGTTGAGCCGCAAACAGACAGGTGGCATCCCCACCTCCCTACCTGTCCCAAAGTCGATGGCCCTCAGGGTGTCTGCGACGTGCTCCAGGTCCAGCGTGAAGTAGTCCATGTTTTCAAAGCCCTGCTCTGTCTTCCCCAGGTGGCAACCTTTGGATGCTTCCACGATGCTGTGGGGAGAGCGAGGAGGGTGAGCTCCCGGGGCTCAGTGCAGGGAGGGACGTTTGGGCTCCAGCTCCCCCAGTGCACATGGAGTGCACACCCAGGGCTTCCCCACAGGTCCCCCTGGAAAGGCGAGGTCTTCCCAGTCTCGAGCAGAGTGGATGGCTCAAGAAAACAGGGGATACGAAGGTCAAGAGAGCCTGCCCAGGACAACACCCTCCCAGCAGGCCTCATGCAGAGAGGGCACCCCAAGAGCAGAGGCAAGGCCTGGTGGGTGCTGGGGGCTTGGGTCCAGGCCCCGGGGAGGCACTGACCTTTTGATGAGTTGCTTGGCACTCTGTGGGAGGAGAGGGAACAAGGGTCAGGAAAGCAGCAGAGCCAGCGACCGGGCATGGCAGGACATCTGGTGCCCTCGCCAGGACACTCGTCCCTGCCCTGAGCTGAACGGAACCTGGACCTTTCCCTCCACCTGGTCTGCACCAGTCCTCGCCATGGTCCTAGGGCCCCCCGTGTCCTGGAAGGAAGCTCGGACTCTCGGGTGATCAGTGCACACACCACGAGAAGCAGCTCCTCCTACCTTCTGATACCCTGAGTCCAGTACAAAGCCTGGCCACAGTGGGAGCCAGGCCCTTCTACGGAGCTGGGCTGCAGTCTTCCCGCTGGGACGGCTCCGCCTGCCTTCCCCGCCAAGTCCTCTAGGCAGGCTACGGCTGTCCATGTTCGTGTCCTGCCTCTGCGCACGGTTATAGCCGGACCCCAACTAACAGTCCCTCCACGGTCTCTGCGGTTTCGTTCTTTGCTTTGTTTTTGTTTTGTTCTCTTCCTTTCTTCCTTTCTTTCTTCCTTCCTTCCTTCCTTCCTTCCTTCCTTCCTTCCTTCCTTTCCTCCCTCCCTCCCTTCCTTTCTTCCTTTCTTCCTTTTTTTCCCCCATAGCACAGGAGTGCTTGCCCGAGAAAGACAAAGAGAGGGAAAGTGAGAAAGCGCCCCTGGGGGGATGGCCATGCCACAATCCCTTTTCCACCATTCTACTGCTGGGATTCTAGGCACACATACACATGCACCCAGCATGAATTTCAAGCCTCAGGGTTCAGGACTCGAGCTGCGAACTGCGGTCAGGCATGTGGGAATCCAGCACCTTAACCGCTTTGCCACTGCTGACCCCAGCTGCAGTTTGTAGTCGCCAGAGGGCGTGTGTGCCTGCAAGAGAGAGCCAGAGAGAGGGAGAGGGGAAATACCCTGCAGTTGGGCATTGTCATACCACAATCCCTTCTTCACCATTCCTCCATCCTCTCGAGATTTTCGGCACACATGCACACATACCCCGAAGGTTTTTCAAGTCACGGGATCTGGGATTTCAACCACTGTTGGCCGTGAGTCTGGCTCTGTTAACCACTAAACCTGGGGCCAGCCCAAGGTTGGCAGCTTGCAGAGCCATTTTACAAACATCCTCTTATTCAATTCTCATAATAAGAGAGGGGGCAGTGGTATGGTGGTTAAGGCAGATGAATCCCATATGGCCAACCCTGTGGTTCAAGTCCTGGACCCAGCAGTTCAAGAAACAGGCTGGATGCTTGTGTGTGCCCAAAACCCTGAAAGGAGGAGCAATGGCAGAGAAGAGATTGCATCATGACCAGCCCTCATGGGGGCTTTCTCACTTTTCCTCTCTCTGTCTTTCTCTCTGGTGAATGTATGCACCCTCTGGCAAACATTTTTAAAAAATCAGTAAGTAGGAGGGCTGAGAGGTGGCATGGTGGTTAAGGTGCTGGACTCCCACGTGGCTAACCACGGCTCGAGGCCTGGGCCTGGAGACTTGCTTTCTCCCTTTTCTTTCTCTCTGGTCAAATTAAAAAATAATAACAAATAAAATAAAATAGATAAATAATTCTTTTTAAAAATCAGTAAGAGGAAGAGGGTAGGGACTGTAGCATGCCCATTTACAGAGGAGGAAGCCGAGGCTCACAGAGGCCTAAACGAGTCCTCCGAAGGTGCGCGTGCTCAGTATGGGGCAGTGGTCGGTACCGGGGCAGTGGTCAGTACTGGGGCTGTGGTCGGTACCGAGGACAGTGGTCAGTATGAGGACAGTGGTCAGCACCGGGGCAGTGGTTAGTACCGGGGCAGTGGTCAGCACCGGGGCAGTGGTCAGTATGGGGCAGTGGTCAGTATGGGGCAGTGGTCAGCATCGGGGCAGTGGTCAGCATTGGGGCAGTGGTCAGTATGGGGCAGCAGTCAGTATCCGGGCAGAGGACTTGACTGCCTCCTCTGGGCCGCCCGCCCCGCTCACCAGGAGGAAGGTGGCGCCCCCGGGCTCGTCCAGCGACTGGATGGCCGTCTGCACCAGCGCGGTGGACTTGTCGAGCTGCTCCCGGTATTGCTGGATGAGGGCCTCGACGAAGCTCAGCTTCTCCTCCTGCTCCTGGGTGATCTGCTGCAGCAGCTCGCTCTTCTTCTCGTCCAGGATGGCGTACAGCACGTCGAACTTCCGGCTCAGCTCTTCTTTCACCTGGTGACTGTTCTCCTGGGGAGGGAACCTGACGTCACACCCTGGGGCCTGCTCCCCATGCGCAACACCCCTTGCTGGAGCAGGTGCGCCCACAGGTGAACTGTCTAAAGCGATTAGTTCTCTTCTTTTTTTATTATTATTGATTTAATTTTAAAAAGAAGTATTTATTTATCATTATTATTATAATATTTTAATTTGTCGCAGGACACACAGATTCACTGGACAGAAAGAGAGAAAAAATGAGAAAGCAAACTGCCAGGTCCAGGACTCAAACCATGGTTGGCCATATGGGAATCCAGCACCCCAACCACCATGCCACTTGATGGCTCCCTATTACTATTATTTTTTAAGTTTGTTATAGAATACGTGCACTCACCAGAGAGACACACACACACACAGAGAGGGAAAGTGAGAAAGCAAGCTGCCAGTTTCAGAACTCGAACCACAGTTGTCCATGTGGGAGTCCAACACCTTAACCACCATGCCACCTGCTGGCCTCAGGAAGAGATTTCTGGATATTGTCTCTCTTTTTTTCTTTTTCTTTTTCTTTTTCTCTTTCTTTCTTTCTTTCTTTCTTTCTTTTTTTTTTTTTTTGTTGTTGTTGTTGTTGTTGAGAGGTTTTTGCTATAGGGCGTGTGCACTTGCCAAAAAGACAGAGAGAGACAGAGAGACAGAAAGCGAGAAATCCCCCCCCAGGGGGGATGGCCACGCTGCAGTCCCTTCTCCTCCATTCTCCTCTCGGGATCTTGGGCACGCACGCACATGCGCCCAGCGTGAGTTTAAGTCACCGGGTCCGGAACTCAAACTGCGGTCAACTACGTGGGAGTCCAGCGACATAGCCATAACGCTAACTGCTGGTCCTGACGTCCCCATTTTATAGAAGGTGTCTGTGTAAAGCAAAGCTTAATGAGCAGAAAGCACTTGTAAGGTCTAGGCACATCAATAATACTTGAAAGCTGTTGTCAGGGAGAACAGCTATCCCTTTAAAAAAGGGGGAAGGGCAGTCGGTGGCATGGTAGTTAAGGTGCTGGACTCCCAAGTGGCCCAACACAGTTCGAGTCCTGGACCTGACAGCTTGCTTTCTCACTTTCTTTTTCTCTTTCTCTAGTCAAATTAAATAATAATAATAATAACAAATAAAATAATCCTTTAGGAAATAAAAAGAGGCCCTAGGGTCACTAGGTGCGACATGTTCTGGGCCTCTCCCATGCCCCACGTCATACGCCCCCACCCTGTTTCGGGCCAGCGCTGCCTCAGAAAGCTGCACACCCTGCGGTCCCAGGAGGGGGGGAGCTGCTCCCGTCTGTCCCAGTGGCCCTCCGCTGCGCTCCCTTCTCCCCAACACCAGGGCGAGTATAGCTGCAGTGCCTCACCTGCCTCGGGGTGACCTGAGGTACCCTTCCTTGAACCTCTCCTTCATGCGGGACTTCAACCACTGGCCAAGATGGTGTCCCTCCCCTGTCACCCCCAAGCCCTTGCCCCAAGCAGAGAGGGGAACTACAGGTGATTTCCTAGGGACAGGGACAAGACAACTCCCTTCTGCCCTGAGGGTCTTGCTACTCAAAATGTCATTTTTTTAAAGAATTATTTAACTTTATTTATTTATTTTAATTTGCCCAGAGGTATAGTGAGAAAGCAAGCCGCTAGGGCTGGGACTTGAACCACTGTTGGCCATGTAGGAGTCCAGTGCCCTTAACCACCATGCCACCTGTCAGCTCCTGGCCTTGCTACTCGAAGTGTGAACCAGCACGTGGGTAAACCCTGGGAGCATGCTAGAAGTATAGACTCTGGAGACCCACAGATGGTCTAATGGTTACGTCACGATTCCTGTGGCCAGTTGCAATTCGAGTCCCGGGCCTGATGGTTTGAAACTCATGCCAGGCGAGTGTGCACGTGTGTGTGAGTGTGTGTGTATGTGTGTGTGTCTAAACTCCCAAGAGGAGAATGGAGGCAAGGGGATTATGGCATGGCCACCCTCCCAGGGGCTGATTTCTTGATTTCTGTCTCTCTGTCTTTCTGTCACTCCAGCAAGTGCATGCTCCCTGGAGAAAAATTTCTCTTAAAACAAAAAAGAAAGAAGTGCAGAATCTCATGCCATCTTCTTGACCTATTGAATCAGAACCCGATTTTTGTTTGTTTTACTGTAAGGCATATAAGCTTGCCAGAGACAGAGACAGAGAGAGAGAGAGAAAGTGAAAAATCACCCCCCAGGGAGTATAACCACGCACATTCTCCTCTCGGGATCTTGGGCACGCACGCACATGCGCCCAGCGTGAGTTTAAGTCACCGGGTCCGGAACTCAAACTGCGGTCAACTACGTGGGAGTCCAGCGACATAGCCATAACGCTAACTGCTGGTCCTGACGTCCCCATTTTATAGAAGGTGTCTGTGTAAAGCAAAGCTTAATGAGCAGAAAGCACTTGTAAGGTCTAGGCACATCAATAATACTTGAAAGCTGTTGTCAGGGAGAACAGCTATCCCTTTAAAAAAGGGGGAAGGGCAGTCGGTGGCATGGTAGTTAAGGTGCTGGACTCCCAAGTGGCCCAACACAGTTCGAGTCCTGGACCTGACAGCTTGCTTTCTCACTTTCTTTTTCTCTTTCTCTAGTCAAATTAAATAATAATAATAATAACAAATAAAATAATCCTTTAGGAAATAAAAAGAGGCCCTAGGGTCACTAGGTGCGACATGTTCTGGGCCTCTCCCATGCCCCACGTCATACGCCCCCACCCTGTTTCGGGCCAGCGCTGCCTCAGAAAGCTGCACACCCTGCGGTCCCAGGAGGGGGGGAGCTGCTCCCGTCTGTCCCAGTGGCCCTCCGCCGCGCTCCCTTCTCCCCAACACCAGGGCGAGTATAGCTGCAGTGCCTCACCTGCCTCGGGGTGACCTGAGGTACCCTTCCTTGAACCTCTCCTTCATGCGGGACTTCAACCACTGGCCAAGATGGTGTCCCTCCCCTGTCACCCCCAAGCCCTTGCCCCAAGCAGAGAGGGGAACTACAGGTGATTTCCTAGGGACAGGGACAAGACAACTCCCTTCTGCCCTGAGGGTCTTGCTACTCAAAATGTCATTTTTTTAAAGAATTATTTAACTTTATTTATTTATTTTAATTTGACCAGAGGGATAGTGAGAAAGCAAGCCGCTAGGTCTGGGACTTGAACCACTGTTGGCCATGTAGGAGTCCAGTGCCCTTAACCACCATGCCACCTGTCAGCTCCTGGCCTTGCTACTCGAAGTGTGAACCAGCACGTGGGTAAACCCTGGGAGCATGCTAGAAGTATAGACTCTGGAGACCCACAGATGGTCTAATGGTTACGTCACGATTCCTGTGGCCAGTTGCAATTCGAGTCCCGGGCCTGATGGTTTGAAACTCATGCCAGGCGAGTGTGCACGTGTGTGTGAGTGTGTGTGTATGTGTGTGTGTCTAAACTCCCAAGAGGAGAATGGAGGCAAGGGGATTATGGCATGGCCACCCTCCCAGGGGCTGATTTCTTGATTTCTGTCTCTCTGTCTTTCTGTCACTCCAGCAAGTGCATGCTCCCTGGAGAAAAATTTCTCTTAAAACAAAAAAGAAAGAAGTGCAGAATCTCATGCCATCTTCTTGACCTATTGAATCAGAACCCGATTTTTGTTTGTTTTACTGTAAGGCATATAAGCTTGCCAGAGACAGAGACAGAGAGAGAGAGAGAAAGTGAAAAATCACCCCCCAGGGAGTATAACCACGCAGCAGTCCTTTCTCTTCCATTCTCCTCTTGGGATTTTGGGCACGCACACATCATGCCCAGCATGATTTTCAAGCCACTGGGTCCGAGACTTGAACCGTGGAGTTGGCCATGCAGCATCCAGCACCTTAACTGCCTTGCCACCAGCTGGCCCCAGAGCCTGAGTTCTGGAAGTCCCCAGGAAAACTAGCCTGGGATGTGCTGGTCCGTGGCACAGAGGACAGGGCTCTGCAGATTGCCAGCTTGGAATATGTACTGGCATCGTTAGCGGGACACTCCCTGAGGTCAGGAGCAGATCCGTCTCCTGCCTCCCCGCAACCTACCAGCCCCTCGGCAGGGTCTCACACAGCTGTGCGAGGGTTTGTCCAGTGAGTGCATGCGTGGGTTCGCCCCTCCCCTGCCGTCCCTGCTGGGCCACCCCAGACCCCAGGTCAGCTCCGACCCGTGGGCGAGCCTTCCGCATGCTGCCCTTAGGCAGAGCATGTCTGCCCCTCACCTTGGTCAGGCGGCAGGAGTCCTCCAGCTGAGTGATGATTGTCTGCACGCGGTCATTGCCCGCCACCAGCATGGAGATACAGTTACTCAGCTCGGTCTGGAACGGAGTGGGGGGATCAGCAGAGGGACAGAAATAGCCCAGGGCCAGCCTGCTGGTGCACAGCCTCATGGCACCCTCCATCCCCTCTGCTAGAACGAGCCTCCAGTGAGGGCCTGGCCCTCTTTCTGGGGTGCAGCTCGGGCTCGGAGAGACTATTGGAAAGACACTACACCCTTATGTGACCCCAGGTAGGGGAGTGAGCTGCCTAGAAGCACACAGCACGGGGCCAACAGGAGTGCCTTGTTTCTAAGAAAGGGACAAAGAAATGGAGGGAGATTCTAAAAGACAGACCAAGAAGAGTGAGGGTGGGGAACAGGGGTGTGGGGGTCCCTGTCTCCCTCGGCTGCAGTCCCAGCTGGCTGCACAGGCTGGAGAGCAACTCCTACAGCAGATTAATGTGCTATGCAGCTGGCGAGGGGCACAGGCAGCGTGTGCGTGGAGAAGCCATGGCCTCAGAGGGCCCTTGTGGCCTGGCCCTGGGGTCTGACCTCTCCTCTCCCCTGTGGCCACACCCGGGTGCTCTCAAGTGGCTCTAAGTATAACCTATGAGCTCAGCCGCCTCCCCGGAAGGCAGGGGCTGCTGTCCCTGTGGCCCGAGGAGTCCCTCCAGCAGGACGATCCCTGAAAGGCCGGCTCAGCAGATCTGCGAAGATCAACTCCACCTCTGATCGGCCGGCGTGCTCAGCAGGCTGGGCTGCTGCAGAAGTAGCTGGGGCCAGTACCTTCTGTCCCTGGAAGACGCTCTGCAGGGGGGCCACTTCGCAGGCCTGGTGGGCCCCGAACACCTTGCACATGGAGCACGTGGGCACCTCGCACGTGAGGCAGTAGATGTTGATTTTCTCATCTTCGTGCTCCTTGCACATGGGGTGGGTGCCCTTCTGCAGGGGCCGACTGGAATGGAGAGCAGTCACAGTCATGGCGGTCCCTGTCCCCCGCCCCGCTCCAGTCCCAGGAGGCCACTCCAGGTTGAGACCCCAAGCTGTCTGTGGTTAGCTGTCCCCTATGTTTTCTTTTCTTTTTCTTTTTTCTTTTAAATTGGTTGCCATAGGATGCATGTGCTCTCCAGAGAGAAAGAGATAGAAAGGGAAAGTGAGAAAACACCCCCTGAGGGGATGGCCACGCCATAATCCCTTCTCCTCAGCTCTCTTCTCGGGATTTTGGGCACGCACATATATGCACCCGGCATGTTTTTCAGGCCACCAGGTCCAGGACTTGAACCTATGGAGTTGGCTATGTGGGATCCAGTGTCTTAACCTCCATGCTACCTGCTAGCCCTCTGATGTTTTCTTCTCATGCTCTGGGGACCCAGGACTGGGGGAGCCACTGACCCCAAACCTGCTCTGCTGCCCAGGACTCGAGCCTTTGTGAGGGAGCTGGCTGTAGGCAGAGGGAGGCTCTGCCACACAGAGAACATGGGGGGTGGGGGTCATGGAATTCCGGAGAGCCTGACCTGGTGACGTCTTAGAGAAGAGGAAACTGGGCCCCTGAAGGGTGAACTGACTTGCCCAAGGCCGCCCGGCAAGTCAGGGCAGGGAGGCTGGAACCCACTTGCTCTAATTATAGTCTCCAAAGCTCCTGGTCACCGCAGGCTGGGCTGGGAGCTAAACAGTTCATGCTGACGGCCTCGTTTCATTCTATATTTAATCCAGCAGACTGTAACCCCCATCAGGGCAGGGAAACGCGCCTGTTTTCTTCGCCCCTGAATCTACGGCGTACAGTGCCCAATGTGGAGGAGGTGGTCATTAAACACAGGGAGAAGAAAAAGAGCAGGAAGCCTGCCATGGCGGTGCTCCTGGGGCTCCGGGAGGGAGCCGTGTGCGTGCCCTGAAGCAGACCAGGGTGCTCCAGCAGCCCAGCACCAGCCTTGACCCCAGCCAAGAGGTCTGTCCCAGGGCCCCAGCCTTCGCCTTCTCTTTGGTTCTTAGAGAGCCTCCCCCAGTCTCTCCCTCCACGGAGGGCCCCTGGCACGTTACTGGCTTCTCTCAGAGCGTC